AACAGCCTGTTGTTTCCTAAGACTGAGTTTGAGAGTGTTATGCCAAAGTATTTGAGGAGGAGCTAGAGCACCAGGCGGTGTAAAGAATACCTGCTGGGTCCTAATTGGTGCCCACTGTTGTTAATGGCTTCCTGTGGCTGAATGTTTACTTGTCATTTGTTTTGTGCTTTGTTTCCCAGCTACTGGGGGGAAAAAAAATACTGACCAAAACTTTATTTTGCTTTTAAGTGTATCCGTGGACACCAAGTGCCATACTGCAAATTGTCTCACGATGCTAAGTACCTCGAGTCTATTCCTCAGTCCTGTAATTACCTGGTATGCTTCAAAAGTTACATTTGCTTTCGATGTTGATTTTGAAATTGGGAAATTATCCGATAGATTTGTTATAACTTATATTAATTATACAATCAAGAAAATTAAGTATGAGTATCATGAACATTAAGACTATGAGTATCTAGGTGTTTGTCTACTACAAGGCTTTGCATGATCAGACATTTAAAAATGTGTTAAATATACCAGTCTCTCATTAAATATCTTTTTTCTTAAAATGTTAATTCTCATTTTTTTGTGGAATATCCATGAAGGGTCTGTGAAAAATGAGAAAAAATGTAACCTTGCTTGCTCAAAACTTCCTTTCAAAAAAAGAATTACTGCAGCAATTACTGATATCCCTTCTGTTCTCATTCAAAGGGACTAAAACTCCCCAGCTTGGTGCTTCAGACCTTTTGCTCCTTCTTTCGTTAGTCTCCTTAACGAGACTGCCTGTTAGTGCCAGCCATGGTGTGAACACCTCCCTGCTGAGAAAAGCAGTGAAACTGCTATTTTTAACTAGGACACTGAAGAGTTTGTGGCGGATAACCATGTACACTCATTACAAGAAAGAATTAGAACTAGTAAAAACATCCTAATCCCATAATCTTGACTCATTTGTTTCTCCTACACTGTTCTATTTGGTTGGGAGAGGTGGAGCTGGGGAAAGTTTCATTTTCATAACCTTAAAAAGCAACTCAGACTTCTGAGAAGAAATACATATATCTCACTTTAATAACTGATTCTTAATCTGCATATCTGTGTTTGAAAAAAGAGCTCTCCTAAATCAGGCATTGATTCTAGGAATCATTTAGAGCTGAAGGAAATTTCATCCAGTATAGAAGACTGGGATTTAGATGCCAAGATCTAAGTATTTGCCCTATGCTTGTCTGGGTGGAAGAGTAAGGGAGGGAAAGTGGGTCTAACATTGCCCTTGACAGTCATCCAGGCAGATTTCTGTTTTGCATGTGGACCTCAAATAGGGTGCATCTAGCTAAATGGGCACCTTTTTCGTAATTCCGGAAGGGACATGAAAGGGACATTTTTTTTCTATAAAAAAGGTATCCAAAACGCTTTCCCTTTTGTAGGAAGATGTTGATTAAAAAAAAAAAAAAAACACACAAAACAAAACAGACAATAAAAACACTAGAGGTGAGAGTTAACAGGTTTTGCCCCATCACAAAGGGGAAGCTATTTTAGCTATTAGGGTATTTTTCCCCAGTATATTTCTAACACATCTCCAAGCATTTACCAAGTTATTTTTTTACTGTTAAATAATTTTTATTTTCTCTGTCTTCCAGATAATAGGACTGCAGAATGAACTAATCAGACAGGGGGTCTTAAAGAACCAACAGGACTGTGAAGACTTTTGGAAACTGATTCCCCAGAGCAGTCCCAGTTCACAGCTCAAAGAAAAGCTTGAGGACATCAAATCAAAGAGTTGGGTTTCTTACATGTTTGGTCACCTGAATATTTAAACCCCCAAACTTAACTATTTTAGCTTAAATGTATACTGTTATATTCATAGAATCATATGGTCGGAAAAGACCTTTAACATCATCAAGTCCAATGTAAGCCTCTCAATACCATTCTTGCTAAACCATGTCCCTGAGTGCCTCATCTACACGTTTCTTGAACACTGTCAAGGATGGTGATCCACCACTTCCCTGGGTAGCCTGTTCCAGTGCTTGACTACTCTTTCCATATACAAATTATTCCTAATATCTATCCTGAAAATGCCCTGGTGTAATATTCATTTTAACAGGTTACAGCCTTCTACGCTTAAAAGCCTGTCTTTCCTGTCCTTTATGTATATATTTATAATGTGTATTTTGAAAAAGCTTTTTCATGAGTCATATAATACATTATTAAAATGGTTATTAAGTATAATAATCTTTACTGGATTAGGATAAGGTATACCTTGATTTGTTGTCGTTGTGATCATTTAAATGTCACTTACTCAGACTCACAGAATGGTTGAGGTTGGAAGGGACTTCTAAAGATCATCTAGTCCATCCGCCCTGCTACCGCAGGGACACCTATAGCACGTGGCACGGGATAGCATCCAGGCGGGTTTGGAAGATCTCATTCTGATCTTCATAAAGTCATTGAAATATGTACACTGCATTCTCAGTCCTTGTTACAGTGACCCTCTCTTAACCATTTCCCTATTTATTTTACAGTTGTATGTTGCTTTGTGTCTTGATTTATACCATCATCCTGCAAAGATGTACTATGTTCACTGTGCCTATTCCATTAACTTGAACTTGCCTGTTGAATCAAGACTGTCAGATCAGTGATTTAAAGGCAAAGATCAGGAACTGACGGAGACCCTTGATTTATTTAGAAATGTCTCAATCTCCATCAGTAGACCTAGAGCATAGGTTACTCTGTGCTTGTATTCTGTTTGTAATATGAAGTGTCTCTTGTTTTATACAAATCTGAGTACTGTGATATTAAGAAATTAAAAAACAGGTGATAAATGCCAATCTAAAATCTAAGTACTCAAGTTAGAAAACTCTGTTATATCTAGACCATTTTTATTCCCATAACAAAATGGCAATGAGGTTTTGGTTATGTTTATGATTTTGTTTTTACTTTACAGTGATTGCTTCCAAACGTTTGCCTCCCCGTACCTGTCTAAGAACTGATACAGCAGAGCCAACTGATGTTTTTCGAAGTCGGAAACATGAGAAACTGAAAAAAGTAAGCAATTTTTGTTATAGTTAAACAAAACACTTCAAACAATGCTATTCGGCTGAGATTAAGGCATCTGAGGCTTCTTCTCTTGCATCTAAGCTTTGCTTGGTACAGGAGAAGAGTGGAAGCAGGTGCTGTGGGCCAGTCTGCTCTGGCTGGTCACCCAGTGCCTCACAGGGTCTGCTCAGTCGGTGCCAAAGACCCTCTGCTTCAGATAAAGCTGTGGCTTATATGGCCCCAAATTCTTTCATTGATATATGTTCCCTGAAAAAAAAGAATTGCCAATATATCAACATTTTTGCCTATCAAGTTATAGCTTCACTGGGGTTTTGTGAGACTATTGCACCTGATAGTGATGGGATCGTTCCTTGCACTCCCTTCAGGCCTAACTATTATGAGTTGACTGTTGACTATTTCCAATACGGACTTATAAACTTGCTCATCTGCCTTCCCCTGAGCCTCCCCTGGAGTTATTACAGCCACCAGTTTTGTCAGCCGAGAGTTGTACCAGATCATGCTGGATGAGCAGAAAGAGGTCAATGTCGCATTTGGCTCTTGGTTATTTGTAATTACATGGTTGTGGAGAACAAGAGCTAATAGTCCCATATTTTCTTCTGGTAGCCTAATATTATCCTTTTATTTTACTTGATTTGAGAGTGATCCAGCTTTATACCGCAAAAATAACACTGCCTTACGGTGGGAAGGGGAGGAACTGTCAAGAGTTAGAGAGAAAAATTATTAATTAACACTCAGTTAGTGCTTTCAGAGTAGAAAAGTCTGTTTCAGATTCAGCAACATGCTGCTGCTGTCAGAAGGAAATAAAGGTAAAGAAGTAAAGAGCCTTTGAGAAAGTACCCAGATTTTCTATCCTCCACACAAAAACTAGGTGGCCTTCAGGCAGAGAGGGGGTATAATTCAAAGAGGAGTGATGCTGAGAAGTAAAGGGTATAAATGTTGGGAAGAAGCTTTAGTAGCATGGGTGCCTTTACTTAGTGTTAATTGTTTAGATAAGACCTTCCGCACAAACCGTCTAAGACCTGGTGTTGCAAAAAGAGCATATTTAAGGGAGAGTGATGAGCGATGTGTGGAGTCTTTGGGAAGCTCACTGGTACTCCTAGGTCCAGTTATAGTGACTGGAGAGTTTGATCCCACTGTTCACAGAAAACGGTTTGGGTAGAGAATGCTTTTCAAATAATCTGGCAAAGAAAGATGGCTAACACAGAAGCAGGGTATGAAGGAAGGCAAAAATATATCTAATTTTATCTCAGGTCCCTTCTCACCCACCCCTGCCCCCAACCCACTTGTTTCCCCTCTTTGTGTACAGTTCACCAGCTGCGCCCTGTGAGATGAGCTGGGGTGGGCTGTGTTCTTCACACCTCCATGCAATGAACACATCGCTCTTCCAATCTGCTAGACTTAGCAGTATTTCTTGGGCTGGTCTGTCAAGCTGCTGAGGATACCTGAGAATTAAATTTGCAGTTTGCATTCTTTTCATAGGTATTGCATGCTCTGGAGAGAAGTCAAACATGGTCTTATGAATATGAACTCAGTGGTTCCAACCATCTATCTTTTTACTCTAATAAAGTCAGTTCTGTCCAAAAGGTATTTCACATGTTAGACACAGTAAACTAATCTATATTGCAACAGACAAAAATAAAATGCTCTTACTACAGGAATGAAAAATGTGGTGAGCTTCAGCCTCTTCCTGCCAAATTAAATGCTGTAATCTTACATTATTTTTTTTTCTTTGATGCAGATAAACAGTCGTCCTGTGCTTGAATTTATCTGATTAGGGTATATAATTTACTCCATATTTGCCATTTTTCCTACTTAAAGCATACTACAAGTTTAGAGCCTAGTTACCAAATTGTAATCTAGACAATGAACAGTTTGAAAGACGTGAAAGGTTATATGCTTTTGGTATAGGAGTTGCAGAATACGTAATCAAGAGTTTTATCGTCTATATTTGATAACAGAGCTTGAAGCTTTACTTTTAAATACACAGACAGTTTGTAGATTACTTTTAACCTGGACAACATTGAAGGAGTCACCATTGGTGAATTTTGGCAATGTTCCTGTAAGGTAAAGTAGTTTTGTAAATGAGGAAACTGAGAGCTAGTATATATGGTCTGCTAAGGTCATTTTACGGTAAGTGAAGCTGAGATTTGCATCTCTGACTCTCACTATTTCTTTTCCTTTTCTGTCTTTTGTTTTTTTTTTCCTGATTCCAATGAGGAGGTATAGGAAAGAACACAAGACAGAAATTAATTTTCCTGCAAATAAATTTATCTGATTTGTGTGAGAAGAAAAAGTATAGATTAGGAAAGGTTTTGAGAGAGAACTTTAACCATCTTTAGTTGCTTTTGATTTCAACTTTAAAATATCTCTGTCTGCATGACATGAGACAATATTTGACCTTCTTACATGATAACAACTTTTGTTCTCAGAACAAAAAAGAACTGAAATCCCTCACTGTAATTACTGCTCATCAGAATAACTTTTTCCCTCTATCCCAATTTCTGATGTATCACCAATCACTATTATCTAGGTGATAGTATCAAAATTAGCAATTGTGATTGCTTTTCTGTAACATTTATGTTTACTGAAACGAAGAAGCTTCCCAGTTTTTCTCCCACAGAATGGTAGCAGTCTCAGAGCATCCTGAAGCTGGTGAGATACCACCATCTCTACACAGAAGAGGGTCCTACTCACAGCCAGTCATTTCCTTGCAAGCTTCACTTGGTTGGTTTTCCTCTGCTGCGGTTAAGGCAGCACATTTGCTAAGGATGTGAGTGGCAACTAGATTTTAGCTAAGGGATTTAGCTAAAAGGACTTCGAAAGTGGTCTACAATGCGAGGGCAAAAGGAGCTGGCTCATGTGGTATGATGAGTGGTCCTTTTTGATTAGAGGGCTTCAGCCTCTTGCCCATGCTTAAGACCCAACCCCATTCCTCCCAGTTAGACAAGAGAGGAATGTGCTGTGTGTACTCTACAAGTTGAAGCCCCAGTATCCCCGGCGTCATGCAAGTCCCCTCTGTTAAACTGAGTGTGGTAGATGGCTGTCAGGTGTCAGTGTGCCTGGTGCCGAGGGAAGGGACAGGGAAGGACTAAAGCTCTCCCAGTAGTTCACACTCGTCATTTGCTGTTGTCAGCTGTGACACTGACAACTCACCTTGCTACTACCTTCCCTCTAGTGCCAGGCCTTCCCCATCGCACTTTCAGAGCTAGAAAGAAGTGTCAGGACTGCGCAGCAGTTGTGTGCTGCTTACACCCCCTCCCCACAGCAGGATCACCTCTGTGGTGGCACCTGGCGAGGAGAATGCCACCCCTCGCCTGTGCGGCTGCCTGCACCTCTGCTCGAGCCACCCCACTGCCAGGGCATTCCAGGGCCAAGCGCTGCCTCAGCTACTGCAAAGTGGGTGTCTGCAGGCGTTGGAAAGGCAAGGATGCCCTGTCACCTTGTCTGGCTATCTGCCCTCTACCCTGGTATCATCTCTGCCTCCCCTGAGTAGAGCTGCAAGCACCTGTTTTCCTCTCGTGGACTCTGTTGTAGTCTCAGTCACAGTGCTCTCCGTGAGCAGCAGCATGCCATGGCTGGCGAATAACTGATCAGTTACGTGAGTTCTGGATAGGCTTTAGCCTTGGAATGTAGGACTTGTTAGGTCTTTGCTGTTGCCTTCTTGTCTTTGACCCATTACACATGTATATTTGAAAATATTTGAAAAGTATTGTTTGGCTGTAGTCTGGAAAAGGGCCTGGGTAAGTACATTTCACTCTGCTTTTTCTTTTTTTATGTCTGAAAGCGACTCTCTTCATGCTGAAACGATGAATAATCTGTCCCAAACTGCTGAGATTAATCACAGTTTTACACGGACCAGTGGGGTCTGGCCTGCCTTATGTTACTGTGTAGGTGTTTAGGAAAGTTACTTGGAGGTGATTGCCATTAAAGTAGATTTTAAGCTTTAAATTTGTATCTGTCTGGTGTTGCTGTCAGGTTACATGTTGTTTCTATAAACTATAATTTTGTCCATGCTTAAATTTCCTTTCTGGTTGGTTTATTTGTTTATTCTATAAGGTATGAATTTTACCAAAATGAACAGGGCTGCTGTAGGATTTAGCTACCAGCTTCAGCCTTTAGAATGATTTAGGTTAACTTTTGTCCTCAATGTGGATCTGACCAAAAAAAGGCAACATGAAAGAAAGGTGAATTTTACGCCATGAAGAGAGTAAAAGTGAAATCACAGAAGCATCAGTTGTGTTTCTCTAAGAAAAACCAAAAATCTTATATGAATAATTTGGTTTTCTGTGTACCACTGATCATGAATGAGCTATTGTCTAGTTTGGATTAGCAACTAAGAAGCCAAATTATGCTCTTATTGGACTAAGTCCTAAATCATTTCTGTAGGTGAAAGCTCTCTGAATTCCCACCAGTGGAAGTGACAGCAGAAAACCAATAGTGAATGCTGGAAGTAAAGTCCTCTCTTGGTTTTTGGAGAGAGAGCTTGTTTGTAGACACTTTCAGGTGACTTTTTGTAATTGTTTCCAAACGAAGGGAGGATTAGTGGAGATGTCACCAAACCGTGAGGAGGCCTGGTGGCCCTTTCATCCTGCCCCAGTCTAAAGGTAGGCCACATGGGCCCTGTTTGCATGACCCAAGACAAATATATCTTGGCTCAGTGCTTGTTACTATAAGCTTGACTGAAGCAGAAGTGATTGCTCACAAATACGTGAGAGAAAAATAAAGCTGAGAAATGGAAGGGCAGCCTTTTATAGTATGAAAAGAGGAAAGGGCCATTTGAAAATGAATTTTAAAACCCATCTTTTCAGACAACTATATTGGTAGAACGACAACAAGAGAAAATATAGCATTGTCAAGATATTTTTTGAAGAGTGACACTATATGAAAGAAAAGTTCAGGCTAAGAATTTAAAGAGGTTGGTTGAAATGAAGTGGCTTATTTTTCCGTGCCTAGTTTGTGACATCTGAAAAATGTTCTAAGATGGAGAA